CTGTTTCGGGCCTTCTCCCAACACGTCCTCCATCGTCTGAACGTGCTGCGGCGCGGAGCCACGGTAAGAGGCCCGCGCAGCCAACCCACTCTCCTTCTGAACTCGCGTCGTCCTCGGAGAACCGAGACCGGCCAAAGCTCCGGAGAAGGTTCGCCATTGAATCAATCTCCACGCAAAGCGACTGGAGCGGTCGGGAGTATCTTGCGCCCGAACGTCGACCCATCAAGCTCGGCGGGGTCTTTGAATGAGCCATTGAATCAATCTCCACGCAAAGCGACTGGAGCGGACGGGGCATCTTGCGCCCGAACATCGACCCATCAAGCTCAGTGGGGTCTTTGAATGAGTGCTTTGCTTCATTCTCCTCCGTATATATGCGCTTCCCTAACGGGATGCAGGTTCTGCTTCGAGAAAAAGAAAAATTGAGGAATGACGGCAAAATAACATGTTTCAAATTTACATTTGGAATATAAACATCGGCACTATTTTCCATGGAGCCGTTTTGCTTCGCTTCACATTTCTTGTTTGACGGCAAAATAACATGTTTCAAATTTACATTTGGAAGATAAACATCGGCACTATTTTCCATGGAGCAGTTTTGTTTTGCTTCACATTTCTTGTTGTTGTTTTTTTTTTTTTAATAGGCGGGACGCGTTCGCGTTACCTTGCTGGCACGCAGCACAGAATACCGAAGAATAATCAACCAGAACGAGGTGAGTCCAGCTCCTTCCGCCTTCTCTTCCTTCTCTGCTTTTTTGAGGCACTTGTTCCTTTGCTCCCGCGCCGCGCCTCGACCAACTCGCCCAATCTCACGGTGGTGCTCGGGCGTCAGAGACGCAAGCCCTCTTTGGCTTTCTTTTGGCACAAAGGCATTTGCCGAACGCGCCAAGAAAGTCTCTCCGCGATGAGCGAGAGGAGCGCCGGCCCCGGCTCGCAATTGAATCGAGATGACGTTGCCCCTGAGCAGGAGCCAAATGAAGAAAAAAAAAAGGCTGACTTCTGGGTCTGAAATTAAACGGCCGTGACTGAGAGTAGCAGTCAAGAGGCCGGGGAGGCTCGGCGGAGGCTTGGCCGACTCCAAAGCCAAGTGCGTTCGACTAATCCGGCGGCGAGGGTGACGCGATCTGACCTCGACTATTCTCGTTCCTTCTCAGTCTGACTTATTCTGTTTTTTTCTGTCGCAGCTGGTAAATGCCCTGAAAACAGTGCCGCGGCTGGAGGTCAGCGTGCTCGACTACAAGTACAAGTGAGTGAGTGCGCTTTTTCGGGCACTGTGGAAATGAGCCAGCGGGCCTCAGGAGCAAGTCGGGGTTGGCGCAAAATCGCGTCATCGTGTCAGCCTTTGTCTTGCCCGTCCCGGCCCCCGCTCCGCAGGAAGTGGCGTTTTCCGGGCTCGGCCGGGTGCCGCTGACGGTGTTTTGTCAACTTCCTGTGACTCCTGCAGGCAGGTTCCGTTCCTGGAGCAACTGAGGATCACCCACAACTCGGACATCTTCATCGGAATTCACGGGGCGGGACTGACGCATCTCCTCTTCCTCCCCGACTGGGCTGTGGTCTTGGAGCTGTAAGTGGCTCCCCGGTGAACTGTGAAGAAGGAGACGCAGGCGGCGAGCGGGCCTGTGAGCTCGTGATTCACACATACCGGGACGAGCAATATTTTGCAAGGAGGAGTGAAAAAGCGCCAGAGATCACCGTTGCCCTTGTGTGCCTCCCAGGTATAATTGCCAGGATGAGGGTTGCTATCGAGATTTGGCGCGGCTGCGGGGCGTTCGCTATATGACTTGGCAGAGAGAGGACAAAGTGTTCCCCCAGGACAAGGTAAGGGAATGCTGTTCCGCCAAGGCCATATTGATCCCGCTTGTTGTTGTTGTCATGGAAAGATCCTTTGGGTCTCGACTTCCCCCAGGGTCACCACCCGACTCTTGGAGACCATCCCAAGTTCACCAACTACTCCTTTGATGTGGAGGAATTCATGCGCCTGGTACTGGAGGCGGTGCGTCACGTCACACGGCATCCCAAATGGCAGCGTTGGAGCCTGCGTGATGAACTCTAGAGTTCTTGGCTGGGTACACCCAAAAAAAAATGGCAACATTCTTGGTGGGGTGAGAGGGACAACAAAATTTTAAATCTCTGTGGATCCGAGGGGTCAATCAAAGAATTCACCACGTCCCGTTGACTCCTGTCATCAGTCGTGCTGAGTGACATCTGTCCACCTGCGGGCTCAGATGTGACGTGTGCACTTGACGCATCTGGCAAACAACAAAAACGCTTCTTCGTTCCACGCCGAGAAAGTTGGCGAATAAGCAGCTGCGCCGGCGTCCCGTAAGCTGTAGCCCGTGGTTGCTTTTGATTCGTTTCACCTCGAATTGAGCTTCCTGCCGTCTTCATCCGAGAATCGGAATTCTCCCGCAACAGGCCGGCGTCATAGCTTCTTGGCTTCTTCTCGGTAAAGCGAACCCGCCGCCATTTGCCCTCAGCACCTCACTTGGTGTTTCCTTAGCACCCAGTTGCCAGCAGATGGCGCCAAAGCAGTCCTGTTCTCTCCGCGGCCTTAGTGCAAAAACGGCGAGTAGGTGACTTTTTCAGCAAGTCGCGAAAACCGCCAATACCATTGCCTACGCCGATGATATCGGTGTCTTAACTGACCTTGTTATCGCGTTTGATCAAATGAGCATCGGAACTGTGTGTTGGACTCAAATTGTCAAGGCCAAACTGCAATATTTTCAAAATAAAAAAATATAAAATCGCCTTCTCGTGTCTCGTGTCCGTGTTGTCGTCGGAGGCATCAACGAATTGACTCCGTCCTCATTAAAGCAATGCTCTTTTTGAAGTCTGACCTTGGAGGGGAAACAAGCTGAACTTTCTTTCATGACCGTTTTTGCTGATGCCAGGCATCCCTTTCATGATTTTAGTGAGTGTCGGTTCAAGGGAGAAGAAAGGGCACGAGTTCGGTTTTTTTACCGTCACCATCATAAATCTGCATGACCTCAAAAAAAAAAGACAAAAAACTCCTTAGCTCTCGTGGCTGCATAAAAGCCACTTGGGGGCAGTACAACCCCACAGATGAGTCAAAGTCCAAACCCTGCGCGTCGATCGACCCCAGGAGCGTGCGCTGAAAAGAAAAAAGAAAACGGCGAGTTGATGGCGATTTCCAGCGGTTCACTCGTGTTTGTCATCTCCAATTCGGCCCAAGTTTTCAGCCTGCTCTCGGAGGGCGTCGTGTCTGAACTTTGGGCCGCATCGACCTCCTCTCCACGGATGGACTCCATTTGTGGCCCCGCTCGGGTTACTGCCGGTGCCCCCGTGAAGTATGAAGAACCCCTCTTCGGGGTAGGAATCCAAAGCGGAGGAGAGCCCCCCCCCCCCCCCCCCCCCCGAGTGCAGCCTCGAACTTTTTCTTGGTTCCAACCTGCACTTCCTGCATCTATTTCCACTCTCTCCTCTGGAGAATTCGTGCTATGCGTCCGCGTTTCCAGATCTTACTGGACCAAAGTCGTGTGTGCAGACCGCTTTGCCCTGCTGAGGTCACACTCAGTTCACAAGTGGGTCACCCAGAAGAATTTTCACATTTGCTGTCGTCTGTTCGGACAGCATCAAGATCTTCTTCTTCTCAACACCCTGAAAATGAATTGGAATTGATTGCAAACCCGTGAGCCTGCATCGATTGTCTTTTCAGACTTCCTAGATGAAAAAAATAATAATTTGAGAGTGATTAACGAAGGAATATCGATAGAGTGGGATGGGGGTTACAGAATAGAGGGCTCCGTCCTTTGAGCAACTACCCACAATGCACTACCGGCAGCCCTCCAATATGGCCGCCGGTAGTGCATTGTGGGTAATTGCCAAAAGGACGGAGCCCTCTATTCCTCCAGTCAACAACAGTTAACCCACCACTCTCCCTCAGGGTGAAAATTGGGTGATGCTAGCAGTGTAGAAATGAGGCTCCATTCCTGATTGACCACGCAGTGGGGGTGGGGCTTCAGCATCCAACCGTGTCCTCCGATTAAATGAACACCTCGCATATCGCAAACAACTGGCGAAGTCATCACGTGTCGTTGAGTGGTTCCATGCATGTGCTGTGGCGATGCGGGCCTCCATTTTTTTGCCCGCTTCCTTCCCGTCGCCATCACACCGTTGTCCTGACAACACAGTTGAGGGCAGTTGGCCTTTGGTCCATTTTAAATTCCGTGTTTCCTCCCTGGACGTTTGGGACCGTTGCCTTGACATGCACTGCAGACACAGAAAAGAGAGGCGCAGCCATTTCTAAATGTTCACTTTCAAATGGGTCACTTTGAACCTCCAAGCAAGCAGGTGGGTCTGTTCGAGAAATGCTCACGGTTTGTTTCTCAGGAACCACGATCGATTTCCTGTATCCATTTCTTTTTCATTTTCAATAAGGCAGAAGGTGTACTTGAAACAACGGAGAGCTCCTAGGGTGCGAATGGGTTTCTTCTTCCATGGGGGCGTGACGCAAATGAATTGAGAATCTCACTTTTTTTGCCACCATTTTGATGTGCAGTGCTTGTTGTTAAAAAGATTGAAAACTATTGTTCCGCGGCACGAAACTCTCCTTTGAATCACGACGTTGGAATGCATAGACCAGGGTGTCCAAAGTCGGTCCTCGCGGGCCGCCGTCCCGCCTGTTTTCAGGCTCTCCCAGGGGCAACACACCTGATTCAAATCATCAGGATGATTCTCATGCTGCTTCAGAGCTGGCTGATGAGCTGCTCATCGGAATCAAGGTGGGTTGCAACCAGGAGAGCCGCGAAACAGGCGGGACGGCGGCCCTCCAGGCCCGAAGCTGGACATGCCTGCCATAGACAAATCTCAACCGTTCGGGTAAAAAGAGGCGTCAAGCGCTCACTTGCTTTCTCCACATTTAGAGGACTGAATTGTCGCCCCCGCCCCTTCTACGCGCCAACTTCAAGCTTCGTGGGGGCTCTGTGACATCGGGGGGCAAAAAAAAGGGGGGTTGTGGGCCGGGGTTCGCTTGCAGCTCAACTGGGCGGGCACTGTTGCACGTCCTCCGAATGGGAAGGACCGAGGACGCGTCTCACTTCTCGCGACCAATCGATCCCCGCGTGCCAGGGTGGAGCGAGGGGGGGGGGGCGCAACTAATCGCCACTGCGGCGCCACCGTCGCGCCGTCACTCCTCTCGGCGGCTTCGAGAGAGGGTCGCCAGGTGAGCCGCGCAAACTCGTCCGAAGACGAAAGACGCGCTCCCACTCTGGCGCCTTCCGGTCCGCACTCATTTGCGCGACTTTCAAAGCAGCTCGATGCGATGTGGAGATGGGACTTGGCGAGTTGAGCGCATTCGGAGCGCCTTGCCGTTCCGACCCGCGGCGGGGACGCCGCAGAAAGGATTGTGAGCGAGACACGCAGGACTTTCAACAGGACGCGCTCTCCCGAAGAAGCGGCACTTTCCTGCCTCCGCTCCCGATATCCACTCTGTAAATTGGGGTAAGTTTATTTTTGCGATTTTTATTGTGGTTGCTTTGGATGATTTTCACTTTGAATGTTCGCTCCAACGTTCTGAAATGATGAAACGGTGGTGCTTTACTTATTCTGCGCCGAAGGACGCGATTTTGGCGGCGCCGAATTCGAGCGCATTCAGAAGAATCACCACAGGGCCGTCCGTGCGTAAAAGCGCACCGGCGAGATGGCTCGAGTTGAACGCGGCTCGCGGGTTTGTGGGCGAGAGGAACGCTGCGTTTCCGCGGCGCCCACATTCACTCAACACTCGAGCCCGACGAGCACTGATTGAGTGGCGGCGGCCTCCGTGCCGGAGCCCCGCAAGCTCCGCGGAGCGGGCTCGACCGAGATGGGCTGCTTACGGATGGAGACTCCGCGAAGGACGGACAAGTGCGGGAGAGAGAGAGAGAGAGAGACGGTCGCATTCCTCTGGGTGAAAAAAATGCACGCTCCTCTCTCTCTGGCTCTCTCTGGCTCTCAATGTGCGTTCGTAATCGTGGTTTAATGGTGAGTCCCCACCTCCCGACCTCCTTTGAAGTCTACATGACCGCCGTCCTGCTCCACAGCCTCTGCAATTTGTACTGTCTTGAGAGCGAGGCATGATGCCCACCTTTCCCGTTCACTCCACGGCGAGCGGCGTCACGAAGTGGGGAAGGTGCTGGAGATGAGGGGCGGATGGGAGATGAGGAGGGAGAGGATCGGGCCAGGCAGGGACCTCATTCTCACTGACAGTCAGATGAACAGGGGAGCAGTGCTCTTAACCCTGGAAGATGAGGCTCTCCAACCCCTGTGCCCCCGTGCACGAGTGAAAGGCTCCTTCCCTTTGGCCGCCATCTCTCCCGCGCTGCACTACTCTCGCACGCACGCTGCTAAACTCAACGCGATTGTATCGACTTTCTTTTTCAGTTTTGTTCACGTTAGGGGCCGCTATGGCCGTTGCTCATCATGACGTGCGTAACGGGTGGATCGTGGGAGGTGGGTTGCTTGAAAAGTAGATCTCGGGTCAAAAAAAGTCGGGCGCCGTGTCGTCTGCAAGATGTTGCTGCTTCCAAACAGTAGAACGAGTCACCGGTGTTGGATGGGGAGACCTGACTCAAAGTGTCGGCTCCAGAAAGCCTCTTAATGGGGTTGAGGTCAGGGATCCCGTTGGCCTCCTCCTCCCCACGCACATCCGTGGCAGCTGGCTTTGCGCCCTGTGGCTGAACGGCAGCCACAGGACGAAGTTGCATCCATTTATTGAAAGCTGTGCCCTCCTCCTCAACATCATCACTTGCACCGTGCGTGCCAGCAGATTTCCCCCAAAACATTTCCACAAAAGAAGTCGTTTCATCCAGCGCCGTAACCGAATCGGGACCGTTTGGGTGTGTCCCTTACGCGTGCGCTCGGCTCCATTGTTTCTGTCATCCAGACTGGCTTCGGCTTCGGGACTGTTGACTTTGCCATTGTCTCTTCTGATCAGGATGACTTTTCAAGGTAACGCCAACACTGACGTGACTCCATTGCGGGAAAAAAAAGACATGCAAGGCTACAACGTCAAAATGATTTCTATTCACATGGAAAATGACGGAGGGGAAAAAAATGAGGGCAAGCCAGTTCCTGTTGTTTTGACTTGTTTCAAAAGTGCGACTTGGTTGGAAGAGTGTGTGTGCATGCGCGCACACAGGACAATAAAACCAAAAGTGCCTTCAAGTTCCAATATCATTTAGGTAACGTCTCTGCTTCTCTTCTGTGATTGAGTGGAAGCTTCTTGCTTAAAATTGAAGAATATTTTTGTTGAGTTTCAACTACGCAAGTCTTACCGGCGTCTTTTTTTAAATTTTTTATCTTGCTCACGAAAAAAAATACACAAATGGGAAAAAAAAACCCTTAAAATGCAAAACTGCAGACTAGACCGAAATTTAAAAAAATTAAAAACCCAATAAAAAGTAAAACAAGTCATTTTCCTCCAGAACTCAAATTATTCCAGACCAACAAGCTAATTTAAACTCACCACATTTCCATAACAAACCTCAAAAGGAAATAACAATGACCTGGAATGAACATTGCCAAACTATTCTAACCGTGGTTTGCTTGAGAGGGAGTTAGAGGCCCCCGTTGTCTCAGGGGAGCCGCACGAACAAGGTGTCATGCTCGGGGGAGCCCCAGACAAATTAATTTGCTTATTGACACCCTGCAGACACGTCTCAGCGACTTTGTAAAACGAACAATTGATCGGGCTTCCTCTCGCCCTCTGCTCCGCGTCGTCGTCGCTCACGCCGCATCATTCTGACCTCTCTCTCTCTCTCTCTCTCTCTCTCTCTCTCTCTGCTCTCTCTCTCTCTCTCTGCTCTGGCATTGCACCAAACTGACCAGCCACTCCGACTCACCCCCTTGCCTTTCTCTCCCCCTTTTTCTGTCTTCCTTGCATGTCAAGTTCGCTTTTCTCTGGCCTTTCAGTTGACAGGCACGACACCTCCGCTAATCAGTCCACTTACGGGCCAGCTCATCATTGGCAGCAGAGCAGATTGACGTGATCCAGTTGCGGCTTTGACATTTCAAAAGAGGAGGTTTTTCCCTCCGTGCGCAAAGGAACAAATCTCTTTCGGTTTCATCCGGCTTGGCCTATCGTGGGGAGTCTCTTTGAAAATGAGCAGGCTCCGGACGTCACACAGGCGGCTTCACTTTTGGCTTCTATTCTTTCTGGACACTCGGCCACTCTTGGCTGTTCTCTCCGGACACCGATAACCAGATGGCATTGGAAATGTACTCACAGGTCTGCAGACACTGGATTTTAGATGATTGAGCAAACAAAGATGTCACCCAATGGAACAGGCAAACCGGGCGCTTTCCTTGCATCTCTCCTTGCATGTCTGCGCGCTTCTCTGCACTTTGTGTTCCACAAAGTGTACACGGCTGACTAAAACGGGTACAAGAACCCCATCCGTCCAAACTCAGGTCCCGAGCTCAAGGGGGATCCGAGAGACGGCGCCCTAATCCATGTCCACGCCACTTGTTGCCATTCCAACAATTCCATCTCTTTTTAGCACGCACGCACGCCGCGCACGCTGGTCGGAGATTCCACTTGAATGCATCGCGAGCGAGCGGAAGAGGAATCGCAGGACAACCAATGCGAGGCCGCTTATCTGACACCCAGCGAGGCGGCCGGCAAAAGCTAATGGCCTTGTTTTGTTTTTTTCTGAACCTGCCATGAAAGTCGAGGACAACTGTTGCACGTTGGCCAATCAATGACAAATGAAGAGGTCACATACGTGTTAGCCGAGAATGTGGAGTGCGTCGCTCAAGGCGACAGGCTCTGAGGTCAGATTGAAAATTACTAGCACACTGTGTCAGAAAATAAAATCCGTCATGTGCCAGACGAATATTTAACCCTTTTTTTTTCCTCTTGTGTGAAAGCAATAAATCGGAAGGCTGACCTTGAGATGCCGACAGTATGGTTAGCGATAATATTTGCTTGCTTCTTTGGTGGCACTTTCAATGAGAAAGCCTCTCCTTGGTTTCTGCATTGCCTTGTGCATATTTACTTGTTTCAGGTGTTGAGCCGGCCACCGTTTGCCGAATCAATAGCCACGCCGCGTGAAACTTTTGCATCAGAAGAGCCTCGACTCGCGGCAGTTGGCTGTTTCACCTTGACGCTGCTCTTGCTCTCAATGCAAAGAGCATAAGACAGTTCCTGGCCAAAAAGAACACGAACGAATCGCTTGACCCGTCACTGTGTGATTCGGATGGGGAAAAAAAAAATATATATATATTCCATGTGATTTTTCCAGCTTGCATAAAGATGAAAAAGAATTGTGCCTAAAATTGAGCCTTGAGGAACCCCACATTTAATTTCATGGACTCTGGAGGAACAAGTATCCCAATTTACAAAATAACATCTGTTATGTGAACTCTCTCCACTCGCCGCGGTCTACGTCTCATATCCAGTACTTCACTTTGGCAATTCGGCATGATTTTGGCGCTCGCCCCATTCAAATGTTGTCAAACGTCAATCACTGCTGCACTCAAAAGGTCGCGGGCGGGACTACAACTTCATCATGTACATTTAGTTTCTCGTGAGCTGATTTCCATTCTTGGACATTTTGAACATGTTACCCGCGTCATTGTGATGTTACTCGGCAGCGGGTGAGGTGTCACTCGGATCCTCATGATGCCTCAAATGTCATGCCGCTTTATTTTCGCCTGTAATCCACGCGAGAGTAGCTGCGCTGCGCTGGGAAAAGCACGGCCGGAAGGCGCTCTGGAAAAAAGAAGCCGTTCATTTTGTGAATGCGGATATCGACATTTGTCATTTGACTTTTTTTTTTTAATTTATTTTTTTTTTATCTCCAGCCTGTTATTCTCATCTCTTTTGCTTACGTGCTCTCACCCTTGCCTCCCGCCTCGCTCTCTCCCGCTTGACGGTGATGCTGTCACAATTCCTCCCGCTCATCTTCCTCTCGCGGTGTCACGCATCAATATTGAACCACTGTCACACTTGGTATGCACTCGGTGATGCTGTGTCACTTTCCTCTTGCTGTTTGGACAAGGATACTTTCGACACCAAAGCGCGCACGCACGCGTCTGTTGTTTCCTTCAGCTTGCGTTGTCACCCAAGTCGGTTCTTTTCTGTGTCTGCCAGCCGGAGCGCACGCGGACTACAAATGGATTTAAATTACACGAGGCGGAAAAAAATGCCTTGGAGAGTGGTCATCACATCTGCCTCACAGTTCTGAGGTTCCGGGTTGAAATCCCGTTCGGTTGTAGGCATGTTCTCCCTGCGTTTGCGTGGGCTTCTCTTTTTTCTCATTTTTTCATTCATTCATAAAACACGCGTTGGGGTTCGTTGAAGACTTGGAGTTGCCTTTCGGAGAGAAATCGAGGGTGTGTGATTGTTTATCCACTCCATCTGAGATTGGATCCAGCTGCCGCGTGACCCCGAAGAGGTCGAGAACACAGACGGCCCAAGGATGAGCCCCGGAAGCCTTTTGGTCAAAGCAGCCCCGCTCCACCTGTGCGATTCGCCCCTCCCCGTTTGCTTTGAAACGTCTGACTTGCAGTGCGAAGCTTGGAAATGCCTTTCGAGGGGGGATTTTGATGTCAAGCGACCTTCTGTATACGTGATGTGCTGATCCAAATAAAGCTGCCTCGCCTTCGTCTTAAACACGCGGGGCATACCGCCAAGTGATATTACAATATTTACAAACCAAAAAATGTGATCTAAAACCAATAAAAAAGATGACCATCAGATCAATTCTATCTATCTATCAGTCATTTTACAAGTAGCAACCACCCCACCAGCTCACAGTGTCAGGCTGTTCGATTCGTTCGCCGCTAGGGGGCAGTAGCACGACGTGGACCGCTCCCGACCGGGTTCGAAGCCGGTCGCTTTCCTCGACGGCATTTGCAGAAGGCTGAGCTGAATCTGAACGGGTCACTACGAATACTGAAGGTTTAGAGAGAGGAAGACATTTTCTTAGGAATGCCAATCTGTTGTCTTTTACTCCGTTTGCTGAGTTAGTTGCTTTGGAACGAGAGGTGTGTTGACTGACACACACTTAAAAGGATGGATTGCTAATTCCCGCTCCTTGAGTGCGCCCCTCGAATTTATGGGAAATCTCTCCTGTTGACGACTTTTTCTCTGTTCGAGTTGACCTTGCAAACATGATGTGTGTAAACGTGTATGTGTGCGTGCATGCCTGCGCCAGCGCGCGTGTGCGTGCGTGTGTGCGCGCGCGTAGCATGTCCAAATGTTGATGAGTGATGAGAGTGTTTCATCATCATCTGTGGTTTTGGGGCCCCGTGAATGATGACGAGTCTATTTTTTGGGTCAGGCGCCTCCGTTTTGATGAAAAATGGAAACAAGCACACGTCCATCACCACCCATGGGTTTGTGTGTGTACCATAGGCGCTGTGTATGTGTGTGTGGAATGTGCAAATATGAATGAGAGCTGTGTGCGCGTGCGCAACTTCGTGCGAGGCCATTGGAGGTTACCCAGGAACCCAAGGGCCTTTCTTGACCTGCTGTCTGTGTGGCTTGCTCATTCCAGGGGCGAGAAGTAGAAAGAGAAGCAGAAGGAAGAAGAAGAGGCGGGCCAAAGTGTGAATGGAAGCAGCGATGGCCCGGTCTTCTTAGAGAGGCCGCTACTCAGTGGAACGGCCCCATCCACAAGGCAAGCAGGTAAATAGCAAAGGCCACAGTCAGGAAGGGATCGAGAAAATGCTGATTGCGACCATTTGATTGAGTAAAATGATTGATTGACGCTCCTACAAGATGTTGCGACTGAGTGTCCAGCTTCCTCTTGGAGTTCTTTATTGGACAAGTTTTGCCTTCAGTGTCCAGGTTGTAATGTCGGCTCGTGCCCTTGTTCCCCTCCTCTCTTCCTCCTCCATGGCTTTGCTCATCCCTCCTCGCAGGATGGAACTGTCGGGGCGGTCGTCGTGGCCTTTGCGGGTGGCGTACCTGGTGACCTTGGCGATGCTGTGCGTTGGCCCCGTGGCCGCTGGCGACCGCAACCATCGGGGATCGACAGGTACGCCTGGGATCTGAGTCCTTTTCGCAAATACCGCACCAGGTTGATCACACCGTCAGCGCAGAGGCCCGAGGCCGAGCCCGATGGAGAGAGCCTGAGCAAGGTGTTTGACATTGCAAAGATATCCCGGCACACGCCGTCCAATGTGAATGTGACCCATCGAATAGCTGGTCCGCTGGTTTGTTGTTATCACTTCATGATAACAACAAAAAATAAAAAGACGGGGGGGGGGGGTCGGGGGCCTTGAGAAGGAGCCACCTCGAGTATGGAGGAAGCCAACCTCAGACCTGTGAGGCGGATGTCTCCCAACGGCTTCCACGAAGGTGCGCGGCAGCCCCCCACTCCCCACCCCTCCTCGGGCGACTGCCTCTTCATCAGTAAGGCGGTGCAAATGGATGAATCCGAATGATTTCCCCCACCCCCGCAATCTCCTTGTATCCTCAGAGGTCGAATTATCCTGACCTGGCGATTGACGTCATGTGCATAAAAGCCACCCGCTTTCCCAGGACTCGAGCCGGTCACGTTACCTTCCGCTATTATTACCTAGATAGAATGAAAATACGGAATAGGTGTGTGTGTGTGTGTGTGTGTGTGTGTGTGTGTGTGTGTGTATGTGTTACAATATAGACTATATGTGCACTCCTTTCTCACCGATCCTTTGCGCTGGAGGACGGAGATGTCCAAAACATGCTGGAGAAAGTTTCGCGAGGACGCAATTGTCCTCAGTTGTGCCCGTGACTGGAAAGTGTCGTTTGTCCGTCCGCAGCATGCAGTTGGCCGGCAACCAGGCCAGGGTGGATCCCGCGACAAGCTCCAGTTGACCAAAAGGCACACACGGCGGTTCGGGGGGCTTCTGTTGACTTCACGTTCCAGCTGAAGTTCTTTTAGCCGCCACAGGGTGGCTCTGGAGTTCAGAAGATGCTTTGCGGGACGAGTTGGCGGCGTGTTGTTGAAAGTCAGTGCCATTGATTCTGGAATCACCATAGGAGAGGCCTCGTGCGGTTTCGTGGACCACATTGAGTCAAAGTCAAGTATAAAAGCAAGTTCGTCTCGCAGACTCACTGTGAGTCACCTGTCGCCGAACAATGTTGGCCAAGCGCTATCGCCACGTGAAAGCCACACAGCAGACCGGGCCACGTTTCCCACGGCCGATGCACGGTGAAAACACCAGGCAAGACATCAAAAGCAAAAAAAAAAAAAAAAAAGCATCTTTTCAGGTGGCAGGATGTGAAAGAGATGATTTTTCTCTTGGGGCATCCCCGACCGACGACAGGAGAAAAATGAATGGTTTGGTGGTCGCGTCATATGCGAGCTGTCATGAAGTGACAGATTCGGAGAATTGGCGGCTGGTGATGCTTTTTGTGGGCTGTGAGTCGCACCGCTTCGCACACGACGCCAATCACGTTGAAACTATTGGACTCAACAAAGGAAGCAAAAGTGAAACAAGAACGACTGTGTCTCGGGTGGCTAATGTCTGTCTGTCTCTCTCGACGTGCCTGCGTCCAGTCTCCTACCAGGTGAAGCAGGGGACATGCGAGGTTGTGGCTGTCCATCGCTGCTGCAATAAGAAGAAGATCGAGGAGCGCTCCCAAACCGTCAAGTGTTCCTGCTTCCCCGGCCAAGTCGCCGGCACCACCGGAGCTCGTCCCTCGTGTGTGGAAGGTCAGCAACAAACACAAACATCTGTTCACAACTTTTGCGGAGCGTAAATCCTCGTCCGCCTTTGGTTCGAGAGGCGGGCGGGGCAGACCCTGAAGAGGCCGCCTGCCGTATGCCCGCCCGGCAAGGCTTCTAACGGCGAGAGTGGAGTCCCGTAGTCGTTTGGAACTAGGAAAAAGGGAATTACGTGCGCCTCATGTGCTCCCTCTCACGAGAACCGGTCAAGAGGTGAGCAGCGGCATTTTGGACCCACTGGAGAGGCTTCATGGAGGACTGGCTGACTCCAAAGTAAAACAAACGCTGTTGACCAGGAAGGCCACATGCCTACACATCAGTGGGCTGCATTTGACCACCCAAATCGGCCGATGTCTCCCAAAGCTAGACCCGATCGATGAAAAGTACGCTTATGGTACATCCGATCAACTCTCAGTCATGTTTTTTTTTGTCACTTTCCTCCTGCATGGGAGTGCTTCGGTGTCGCTGTGTAATCTGTTTCTTGTCGGGTTTCACTCCACCCTTGCGTATTCTTGTCATGCACATCTGGTTACTAAATCATAAAGTCGAGCCACCTCCAACTAGGTCACGCAGGATCACTGTGCGGTCCAGTTACGATGCCGGAGACTTTGATGTTGACTGCTCGTCTCCTGTACTGTGGAGGCGTGTGTTTGTGCATGTGTGTGTCGTCTTTCTTTTCAATCGTAATGACCTAATGGCAAGGTTCCGCGACTCATCCTTTTGTTTCCACACCAGCATCGACCCTATTGACGACACACACACACACACACACACACATTTCCCTATTAGAACTAAGAACAGCCTGTCGTGTGTTTCCAGAACTTGCAGATGGGGTTTCACATTTTCAAGTGCAGTCCATTAAAGTGGATTTGCCTCCGCACCCCCAAGGCAAAAGCGCCTTTTTGGTGCCTCCGTCCTCACTGGCAGGCTGGGCCCAGGCACGTGGCTGCGCTCCTCACTTTGTCCACATGATGTCACAAACATGACAATGAAAATGCCAGCTGAAAGGCTGCGAGAGATGAACTGGTTGCAAATTCCACGCGCTTCCCAAGCCGTGCGAAAAGCAAATCTGTCCGTGATTGACATCTCGCCATCAGCAGGGGGAGGCGCGATGCTGTCGGCAGCCCCGTGGCCGAAAACATCTGCGCGCCTCACTCAGAGAACCTTGAGGCATTTGTGGAGGCCCTCCCACCAGGAATAAATAGCTCGATTCACCATGTTGAGCTTGCTCAACACCTGAACCCTCAGCAAAGAAGTTTCCTGTACCCTTGTTTGGCACGCTGAAACTTTGAGCGCTACCTTCACAGAAAAAAAAAAAACCAACAATAACAACATGACTGTGCCATGATGACACGTGTGACCAAGGCGCTGGCTTTTTGAATTGGCCAACTCTGAGAATAACGAACTTTCGTTTGCGGTTCCGCAGTGTTTGAATCTGCCTCGGAAGTGACATTGAGCAGGAAACTTTGGCACTGGGTCACTTTCAACACAAGTTGGGCTGTTGTTACAGTGGCGCAAAAAAAAAAGAAAAAAAGAAATCAAACGTGCCCCCGCCTGTAAAAGAGGTGAGTATTAACAATGCTGGCACGAGGCTGCAACGTAAACTAAGTGAACTGCCAACCTGCAGAAACGTCTTTTGGATTTCCCCCATCATATCCCGATGATAACAGCATCTTCGTCGAAATTTCGCTGGCCGTCATGGCCCTAAACTGGAGTCCAGATGGAAACGCGAAGGCAGGGACGAAACTCCTCAAGGGTGGTGTCACCTCCTAAAGGGGAGTGTCAATCCCCAATGTCGCTGATTGATGCGTGTTGAATGTTTTGACACAGCGCATCAGGTCACGGCGCTTTGAAATGACCCCGTCCAATTATAATGCCGCGACCAGTTCAATTAGCAGCCACAATTGATGACAGCTCACTTTTGCATTCTCACCTTTCCTCGTTCAATGTTACGAGGTGCCACTTGGGGCGCCCGACTTGAGTGCGGCGGGCCGCCTGGGTTCCCTTCCCACTCAGCAAAGGTGTGAGTGTAAGCGTCAAACCCGCAGTCAAAACAAATGAACATTAAATGGATTTTAATGGGTTAAATGGAGAAAATAAAAAGTGACTATAATGGATGAAATGCCAAAATATTCCAACCCCGGTTGAGACGGACGGCCTCCATCTCACCCACGACCCGACAGTGTCAGTCAGGCGCAGGCGCATACAGTCGAAAATGTCACGATGCACCGCAGGGACATGAAGCCATGATACAAACGTGTCACGTGTTGAGGCAATGCTGCAAAATGACATCTTGGCCGAATGTTACGTCACAGGCAGAGGGTCCTTTCAAAAAGCAACGGCGACAACAACCGAAGAAGACTTGACCTCACCGGCTGAGCAAAAACAAGAGCCTGCTTATCTGAGTTCAGCGTCAAGATAGGAGCTGAAAGGCCACAAATCTATTTTGGATCATGCAGACGCATGGCAAGAGCGCTATCGGGAGTTTGACTTGGCGGGGTGAACAATGCAAGAAAACAAGTTCTGCCGTTTGACAGTGCGGCCACCTCATTCTACACATTCCCTGCTCCTTCCTTGAATGAGCCGCTGTCGAAAATCGATCCGATTGGGACGCCGCAGGCCGAGCTGCGGAGCGCGTCTGTTGTTTTTTCTGGCCTTGAGGGGCAGCGGTTGGCCGGCCGCGCCCACCCGCTTCGCTCCCGCCTGGGAGAAGTGGCGAGCGCACGGGCCATTAGCTCTTAATAACACTCAAAGCGCCATCATCGGCAGCATAATGGAGACATTAACAAGCGCATTACACAGCCGTTGCTTTTTACAAGCGTGAACTGCCGTCGAGCTCGCGCATCAGAACAGCCCGCGCATCAGAACAGCCCGCTTCCACGTTCGTCTCGGTGGCGATTCTTTGATTTCGGCTGTGTGCTCCCTTCTCCTCGATTTTCAGTGGAACACTCCACGACAGATATTCAACCTCACTTTTGAGGGCTCCTTTGCGGAATAGCCGTCCTCCAAAAATCGCTCATGGGGTAACTTCTTCATTTCCCTGGTACCTCGTTTTCCACTCAATATGTTTTGGGGTCACACAAGTCTGAAGCTGAATCTCCCTCCCCATGGTCAAAACGGTCGCCTTGTCCTCATGCAACCTTAACTGCCGGGGCAACGTACACTTCAACAAATTTGTGGCATAACAAGTTCAACTCAATTGAAATGTATTTGGAGAGCACTTGAAAACGACCACCGCCGTCTCCAAAGCGCGATACGCAGAGCAAGAAGACTTCACATGACAACAAACAAGAAAACAATCCATTCACAACCAAGGCAGTAGAAACTAAAACGCAAGTCTCATGCCGAGTCAAAGGCCAAATCGTAAAAATGAGTTTGAAGACGAGTTTGAAAGAAGAGCAGTGCGAGGGGGCTCGCCGAACGTGTTCACTCCAAAGAGAGGGAGCGGCAACGGCAAAGGCTCCGTGCCCTCCGAGCCTCCGCTTAGTCCTCGCTCCCTCTAATGGTGTCCGTTCCGCAAGACCTGAGGCACGGAGCTCCGAGAGGTCAGGTGGGGGCAGGTCATTTCAAGATTGCAAAACAAATCATCGGCTCTTCAAAACAACTCAAAAATGAGCCCGTGAAGGGATACCAGAGTAGGAGCGATGTACGCCCTCTTTCCGGTACGGGCCAAAAAGTGAGCGGCAGCATTCTGGCCCAATTGGAGAGGCTGCATGGAGGATTGGCCGAGTACAAAGTGAAGCGCATATCACAGTAATCCATTCGAGATCTGACTGTGAAAACTCAGCATGTACTTATTTGAACGGTGAAATGTTATTGCAGTGTTCCGTCTGAAAATCAGCCCCATGACATTTCCTATCTCATACTGCTGTCCATTCGATGACTTGCTGTCTTCTTGTCTGCCGCTTTTCCCTGCGTCGACTTCTTCAGCCTCCATCGTGGCCCAGAAATGGTGGTGCCAGATGCAGCCGTGCATGGCTGGAGAAGACTGTAAAGTCTTACCTGACTTGACCGGCTGGTCCTGCAGCACTGGCAATAAAGTCAAAACCACAAAGGTGAGAGAGTCTGTGTGTGTGTGTGTGTGTGTGTGTGTGTGTGTGTGTGTGTGTGTGTGTGTGTGTGTGTCAGGTTTGCATTTTGTGCGCCCTTACCTCCCTGTCCCTCTTTTGCTTGCTGTCTTCTCAGTGTAAGGAAATGACTGTGTGAAGAGTAAACGGTATTGACCAGCATTTGGCAGGACAAAACGATCCTCGCACACAGCTTCGAAAGACAAAACGCATGCGTGACATCACGTGACCGCAGCACGTCTCGCAAATCCCTCCATCCAAAACACGGTGTTTCTTTGAAAGGCTATAAGTTAGATGTATTATTTCAGCCTAGAGGTGTTCCTCAAGGATCAACCTCGGGTCCTCTTCTCTTTTATTTTTATGAATGACCCTCCCCCCCTCCCCATCTATATTTTTCCATGTTTTCAGACCGTTCTGTCCAATTAAAGCTGATGATACTGTTATTTAGACATCAAAGCCTTCTACTTTACAAATTCAGGAAACTTTACAGCATGACTTTTATTTATTTATTTATTTATTTTTAACCAAAGTAAAACACGTATGATGCTTCTTGGTCGAAGACAGAAAACTTAATTCTGCTTTAACTTTTTTTTTTTTTTTTTTTTTTTTTTTTAACCAAAGTAAAACACGTGTGATGCTTCTTGGTCAAAGACAGAAAACTTAATTTTGCTTTAACATATTTGCTTTTGGCAGGCTGATTGAACACTCCAAATTGTCCCGCGGTGTGAGTGTGAGTGCGAATGGTTGTTCGTTTCTGTGTGCCCTGCGATTGACTGGCAACCAGTTCAGATTGTCCCCCGCCGACTGCCCGAAGACAGATGGGATGGGCTCCAGCACACCCCGTGACCCTAGTGAAGATAAAGCGGTTCGGAAAATGAATGAATGAATGAATGAATGAATGAATTTTGGTGCAGATGTTTTGTTCAGTGTTGTTTCAAATTTCACATCGGGAAAAAAAAAACCCAGACCGCTTACGTCCAAAATAAGTCAACAACAGTGATGGAAAACGAATAGGATACACAGCGGACACCTGAAAATCAAGGTCAACTAACCTGGGAGGCATAGGTTTGAATCTTCCTTCGCGCTCCCTGCGGAGCGGTTGGCTGAACCTGGGTTGCAAGGTGCCACCTACAAACGCAATCATTTTAGTGTCAAGACCTATCAGTATCCAGTAACCTCATCTAACCTCGAAACATCCCTTCAAAAATAGACTTCATAAATATATTACAGACGCCCTTTCGGCTTGGACCATCATTTGATGCAGCACAGACAGTCCTTGATCTTGAATGAGTTTTTTTTCTTCTTCCTTCTTTGCGCAATAGCTCGTCGGAATTCATGTCTGGTAAGCGGAGCCTCTTCAAAATTTCATGACCGGCGCATCATATTACATGAGCGCTAATCTTGAATGAAAAAACCCAAACCTGCACAAAAACCTATTTCGAAGGGGCCTCGACGAGTAACGCTGAAACACAAAAGTCAAACATCAGAACAGATTCCACGTGCAACACCAAATTGACGAAAAAGTGATCGAATAAGTCCCTGCGTCGTCTGTGATCAGGGTGAAAAAGATTTTCAGGACTTCGTTACGACGCAGCTGCAGGCTCCTTCTTGGCTGTTTACAGGGCCGGTTCGAGCCAATGCGGCGCCCTTGGCAAGGTTCTTCTCTGTCGGTGATTCTTCATACGCTTGTGCCCCCTCCCCCTGCCCCCAAACCTCCAAATTGCTGATCCTTTAACAAAAGACAAATCACGGCAAGCGATGCTTTCAACAAATGTCAAAGGTTGACACCACGCTGAGTAGGGTTAATCTCGAGACATTATTTTCAGACTCCCTTTGTGGCCGATCGACATGAAAATGAAAACGTGGGTTTACGTGGGACCATCAAGTCGGTCAGGGATGCCAATCAGCCAAAAGAGGGTGGCGGGTGGAATAGTTGGGATTTCTTCAGCTTCACAGTCATCTGGCATCGCGTTGAATTTGTATCCGCAGGCCGACTCTCTTTTTTTCAGAGACACTCCGATGTCGAATAGCTGTGTCGGCGGCCCCCGGAGCCCCCGGCGCCCTTAGCGTCTGCCTACGTGGCCTAACGGGCGAGCCGTGGCCCGTTCCAAGGTGCCGACGTGCGGGAGTTAATTTGGGCCGCGAGCGTATCTCTCGGCAGAGCGGCTGCACTTGATTTACACCGGCGCCGGGAGAAAGACTTGCGAGACAAAGAAACCGTGCCGGCACCATCGGAGTAATTGCTCAAGAGATGGCACAACAGCACAGCATCTGTCACATTCATTAGAATGCGTTACGACGGGGGCCTTCCATGGAGCTTTTACAATTAAGGCTCGTAATGAAGTTGCTAAGTAGGAAAGAACGAGGAGCGGAGGCGGCCGCAGGCGGAGGATTGAATGACCGCGGGCCAAATGAAAACTCCGGGACCCGGACGACAATTCTCCCCGTCCTGCGTCCGCCTGTTTTGGCTGAGAGGGGAAGGGGAGCCGATCAGCGGACATTCATTTGCAATTGCGAGGGGATTTGGGCTCGGTCAACTCACGCTCGTGAGACTCTGCGGCGGATGTCAGTGACGATCACCGCAACGAGACGTGGACTCCATGGCAACCGTTTGCAGGCCACCGCTCCCGCCCTCTCCGTCTCTCATTATTGTCCGGCATTTCTCCTCCCGCTCACGACCTCCCTTTGCAACCTCAACGTTGCTTTCACGGCTATTAGCAATTGCCGCGCGCGTCTCTCGACTCCCACGCGGCGTCGGTGCGCTGGCCGAAGATGTACGGAACGTGGCTGAGCTGAGCACATGCCGGAACACGGCAAGGCTTCTTTTAATCAGGATGGGCTGCGAGACGGCATATCTCATCAACGTCTGCGACGACTCGTTGCTCTCACACAGTCCCAGCAACGCAACCGCAAGCATTCTTTGGAAAACTCGGGAACATTTTCTGCAACTCGTGTACATGTAAATGAGGCAAAGCCAAAGGATTTTATTTATTTATTTTTTTCTGGTTCCGAACAGTCATTTAAGACTGGCGTTGTTGTTGTTGGTCTGAGCAGGGAAAAAAAAAGACATTTATCATCAACAATGACGACGATTTCTTTTTCTTTGATACAGCAGAACTTGTTATTATTTTAGTGTTAAAAAAAAAACAAAATAATAAAACAAAAAGCAGTGCAGCAACATATTTTAAAAAACGGCCCAAGCACACTGATCCATACTGTACAGTGAATAAAGAAAAACATCCTTAGGGTCCTTTGGATTTGCTTCATTCAGTTGCACACAATGCGTATATGGAGAGAGAGAGAGAGAGAGAGAGAGAGAGAGAGAGAGAGAGAGAGTTGGAAAATGATTCCAGTTGACCACTTTTTAATCATGTGCAACTGAAAATGACTTTTTTTTTTCAGTGAAAGAAACCAAAGGGAAAAAAAGTCACTTGTACATTTATTCCCAGCTTTTGCTGGTAAACTAGCTGCGACAAATGTGCATTCATTCCATTCATGGCTAAATTGCGTTAACCTCGGCTATTGTTTCCTTTTCTGCCTTTAGGTCACACGATAACAAGAGACCCACTGGAGCAAGAGGAAACATGTGGAAAGTGTGGACGACTTATATCAATTTAGGATAAAATGCGGGGGGAGGGGGGTTAAACGTATGCGCTATCATGCCGTACCCGTGGCCGCCAAATAGGGTTGCCCGGGGTGTACGAGGACTGCAAGAAGTGACTCGAATGTTCATTCTGAAGACTGAGTGAGCATTTCAAAGTGCGTCTTTCAACGGAGCGTTGGTTGGAGAGGCCAGCACCGCACGTCGGGCGCCCTGCAGACCTTTTGTCAACTTGTAGAGCTCATCTAGCGGAGCCAAGAGATAGCGGCTCATACCTAGCAAATTAGGCTGCAATGGCTCCCGTGGGTCAAGTCGCCGCCACAAAGACTGTTTGGCGAGAGCCAATTTGCAGTTCTCATTAGGAATTGCAGTGTAGCAACATCACTGCAGATTAAAAATTCATGTCTGATATTTGCACTAGTTGAAAACTTTGGCTGTTGTTTGCTTATTGCCAGTCTCTCGCCAGCGGAAGGATTCGCAGATCTTGAACATTTGGCGTCGAACATCTGACGTTGCGGGTAGGCAAATCCGCGAGCTGGGCCGGAAACGGTTGGAGCGCCACCGCCTAACTCGCTACGAGGCCAACAAGCAAATCGGCAGCGTCCCGTATTTTCGGTCGCGGTAAACGTTTGGTGTGTGTCATCTCCACTGTCGTCATTGAAAGTGCGATCGGTCAAAGGCCGAAACGTCGCCTTGTTATCGTCTTGCCGTTTGGCTGGCGGACGCCTCGTCGAGCTTCCGAGCAGAGCAACTTGGTCTACCTTCATGAGAAACCGGAGGCGTTGGTGCGCCTGCGCTGATTTGGCCCCCCGAAAAGCTTTTCCGCATCAATATTTCAGTGAGATGTGGTGAAATAATTGCTGCAGTTGAAGCCTTTGCAGGCTTTTCCCTGCAGGCTCTGTCGCCGTCGCTGCAATGAGGACAACAGCGCGCACCCAATAAGCCATCTCGCATCTCTCACTTCATTCCCTGCTCCTCTTCGTCGTGGTCCCCTTTCCACTTTGACAACGCTCACCGGTGAGTTCATTTTGCGCTGAAGATGCCCCGGCTCGATGGTCTTCCTCCAATGGCGAGACTCTCCCTAAAAGTGTGGATGCGAAGGCGGCGGGTCATCGTGTATCCCGGTTGGCCCGCTGGGGACCGCCGCTCTCCGAATGAGACTCTCGCCTTTCAGTCACGCTGCTTCATGAGCGATGATAAATCTGCAAGAGGCCACTTTGTGCCGTTGCCGCTCCTCTGCTCGTCTCAGCTCTGCGCCAGAGGGAGCTCGGAGGAAAGCGGGCCTACGAGTGGCAAGACGGCGCCGCGTTCTCATTACTGAGGGGCCGGCGGAGCGCCCGGCTTCTCTCGGGAGCGCTGACACAGAATATTTTTAGGCCCCCACCTTTCCAGCACCGCAGCTTTGCCACGCCGGCCGCCGTTTTTCAGCTGCTTCTCAGCAACAGCGGAAGAAGGCGGACTTTCTGGAGTCGGCTTGACGCTCGACGATCCACGGGCAGCGTCAGGGTCACCCGAGTGGTCGGAACCGTCGCCCGCGCTGCAACGACACAAATGAATGATATCTATGGCAACGATTTGAGTCAGCACAGCAAAGCGGTCAGCGTCAAATCAATTTCTTACAGTCGACTTTGAACAGAATTGGCCTCTAGAAATGTGGACTACTGTCGAAAAATACGCAAGATGGAACAAAGTACAACAAATGACAGCGGTTACAAAACAAACAAACAAACAAACAAGAAAACGAGTCAGACCAAAAGTGGCCGCAAAAGTCAAGGACTGTATATGCGTCAATAGCCAAACCACGACAGATGCGAAACAGAAACTAGATCCGCGCCACAAACACACTGACTATCAAAATGGAAAAAAGGAGGCGAGCAACGACATGGCATGAACCACAAAAGAGAATTCAACACAAAGTCATGAGTCGGATGAGGAACAATGGAGATGGCAGTCCCTTCGCAACAGGTGCAACGCTGGAGGGAAACGCCCACTGCTACAGCTGGAACTGAGAAGAAGAAGAAAAAAAACAGAAAAGAATCACGACCATTAAATCGCCCAACTCAAAAATATATTGAGGTTTGTTGCGTTCGCTGTTATAAAAATACAAAGTTGAGTGAACAAAAAATGTCAATCCTGCATTTTCAACAAAGAAAAAGGTTGCAGAATTGAACCCGGTGATTTTTTGGGGGCCGGGTTGGGGGTGGGGGAGCTAGCAACTTCCTTCCTTTGTTGTGCTAACATTGTTGCCATAAATCTGTTTGGCCTGGTGATTTAGTGAAATCGAATAAATAAGAACAACTCTATTAAAAATATATATTTGGAAATATATTCGAATCAATCTATTTCTGATTGACATTTCTTCAACTTGAATGACTGTTTTTTCCCCCCGAGAAGTACAAGTTGTGTTTTTGACAGTGCAAGAAAGCTAAAATGCTTCGAAAGCTAAATGCGTCCGACCTAACCGTGGAATGACTCCGTTTCCTGCCCGTAGCTTCTCTTCCTCTGTCTGTGCTCTTCCCTCACTTTCCCGCCCCCCCCCCAGAGGTTTGAGGCACGGCGGATGGCGGATGGCGGATGGCGTCTCGTCGCCTTCGTCCTACGCGCTCTCTGCAGCAAAATCAATATTTGAGAACAATTTGCAGCGCTCCCCGGTGGCTCGCGTATGGCGACGCAAACTCGGCTTCGGGTCCTCCAGACACGGATGGTGTCAGAGAACCGTTTTAGCGACCGACCCCGAGGTCAAGAAAGACTTCACCATCGCATACGTTGGCGCGCCGTTGCCGGTACTGCGGTAGCAGTGACGCCGATCCTCTTTTTGCCCGTTTTTGGGAGGCATATCGGATTAGACAACGCAGCTCTAAAACGTGCGCCGCCTATACATCCGTCCACTCACTTGGGCATCAACCGTGAGTTATCGCTATTCGAAATGTGGTTGCCGACATTGTGAAAAAGATGTTATTTACTCCGAGCAAGCAGACCGGCGGCTTTCATCTTCCTGGCTGGGCGTCTGCTGTGACCCGGACACCGGATCACACAGAAGCAATCGCGCAGCAAACGACGGCGCGATAGCATGCTAATGAGAAAAAGAAAAAAAAAAACAGTGGACAAAAAAAATCAAAGCCACACAGGATCACTCCCACTGAAAGAAAGTCCAGGAGAGGAGTCTTTATTCAGGAGCTAAGCCTTCCAAGAGAGAACTTGCATCGGCACACTCCGGTAGTCTATTAGCACATTGGTCCAATTTGTATCCCGATCGTGCTCGTCCTCCATCTCTGAGCCCGAAGAGTCAACAGAAAGCACACGATATGAAAGGCGACCTTGGAGAATGGTTGAATGAAGGAAGGAACAACCGCACGGGATGGAATCTTTTGGTCTGCTGAAAGGAGTGACGTTATTATTTCAAAAAAAAGTCATGGGGTCTGGTCAGAAAAGATCCTTTTTCCTTGAGCAACCCAAACGATAAATAAGATCAGAAAACCTTGCAAATGTCGGCGTATTCACGGCTTTTATCCTCATTACGCTCACTCAGGAGCTCAAGCCGCGTAACGGAAAAGCGGCCGTGCCGATCCGAAAGTCGTCAGCCGAAGCTGCGAGGATTAATTACAGGAGCCGCGCTCTCACGCTGCGCCCGATGTGACAAAAACACCACAACAAAGCCCATTAGAATTCAATGACACCAAGCGCAAAAAAAAAAAAGAGGAAAAAAAAAAACCAAGAGAGAAAACAATCGGAGGTGCCGTTCTTATGAATTTTGCAGGAGGCCTGCAAAGGTCTGATATTGACGGCGGAGCGAAAAGGGATTGGTGAACATCTTCCTCCGAGCGGCTCGCTCTCGCCTCGCCCCGCCTCGCCGCGTCGTCAAACTGGCTTATCTCTTCCAAGCAATTAGCCACTGGAGGCTCTATTGACCGGAGTCTTTGTTCGAGCGACCGGCTCCATTAACGTGGCCGCCGCCCGGCAGTCTTGGCCCCGACGCGGCCCGCGTCGGGGCCAATGTGAACAGGACTGATAAACAGCGAGCCCCACGGTGCGCGCGTGCTTTCGCGTGCACGACACGGGAGCCGCGCGCGTGCATATGAACCGGCTGTTATCGTTGGTGGGGTCGGGCACTGGCGCCTTGCATCCCCAATCTTTCGCCTGTCTTGCCGCGCGTGTCGTGAAGGCCGCCGGCCCTTCATATGGCAATTTCACATCAGCCGAAACCCCCAATTCTGGATGCGCACAAACGCGGATGAGATCACATTGCAAGACGCCGACGGCCGGGATGCGCCGTGCAGGATCACGCTCTCGACAAGGTGACAAATTGCTCTTTGTGCTCTTGGTGGACGCAAGGCGAGGTGGGTGCTGACGCTCCGCTACCCTGAGAATAGGTTGTGATTTTTCATCGGAGTGGTTTTGACTTCCTTTTGACTTTTTCAAGGTTCAATTGGTCGTTTCGCAGCTGCTTTGTCGGTTATTGTGATGATTTCTTGTTGCATCCATTGATCCAGTTTTCGCTGATCCTTGGAGAGGGTCGCGGTGGGGTGCCAGGGCCTGACTTCGGACCACACCCTGAAGTGTTCGCCAGCGGTCGCACGGCACATCTCGGGACAAACGACCGTTCCCGCCCTCATCCACGCCGTCACCGAGCGGGACCCTTCCATTTGAGTGACATTGGAGTTCGGGTTCTGATTCGTTTGACTGTCGCCAAGTATTTGTTGAGTGCGAGATGAACTGTTACAAAGTCAAGTGAACTACAATTGTCTCTTGACCTTCTTTTGCCCGGATGTTTTTTTTTTTTTTTTTTTTGGTCGGGGCTTCATTCCAAGTAGACGTGGTTACGCATCTGCCGTGAGCAGCCAGCCAGCCAGCCAGCCATTGCCCAACAAGCCCAACGAGCTCCAACGAGCTCCACGGAGCTTTTTGGGCTTCTCTTCTCGCGCTCTGTCGCCTTGGCGGCCAGCGTGACGGATCCTCCATCAGGCGAAATGTGAGCGGCACGGAGGAAGCGCAGGATGGTGGAAATTGCTCTGTCATCAACGTGCTGTGATGGAGGCTCAGCGGGCACGCGAACAGTTACAACTGGCCAGGCGGCGCTTGTAAGCGGGAATGCTTGGACAAAAGTGGCCGCCTGAATAATTAATAAGCTGGAAGAGGATCTGTGTTCGGGGGATATGGGGACATCGATTCAGGATGAGAGGGACTGAGTGAGGCTTGAGAAAGAATGGCTTTTTTTCTGGCCATGACCTTTGCACAACTCTTTTTTTTTTTTAACGGCCTCACATGGTCACGCTCACGCGTGGCATTTCCTGCGGACTTTTTTCCATGTGAAATGTTGTCAGGCAACATAAGGCTGCACACTGTCACACAAAAAGTGAAGAGGAGGAGTTCATTTCAGTCCCGCATGTCCAATGTAGCTCATAATTATCGGCCGCGCACGCTTTTTCATCCTTTTGGCTTGCCCCATCACTTCGACTCAGGTGCAACTTGTGAACATGACAATGAGAGCTCACACTGGCAGAGAACGAGTTGCGGCCGGATTCGAAACGTGGTCCTGCCTCACTCGCACCTCACCACAATTGCGATTCTTGGGCGTCGCTTTCCCACGAGCGGACGGACGGAGCTGCGCCAATGCTTGCCCTCCTCTTGGCAAAACTTCTTCGGGTTTCCCCGCCGAGCTTCCGTTTGGGAATCCGCGAGGCCTCTTTGGGGCTTTGGCTCCTTTTGTGCCTGAAGTGGTAGTCAGAGAGATTAGTGGGTGGCCTTTCCCCGACGAGAGACGTGCGCTTGTTTGGCATCGGGTGGGCGGGTTACATCATCCGGTTGTCCGCCTCACGGCCGCGCGCTCCTTTGTGCTGACACGGGGGACGACGCGCAAAGACCGTCATCAGAGGAAATTAGCTCAGTCGCCTTGAAAGCGCTCGCTTCTCACAATAGCCACTGGCCATGCTAAATCCTGAGCCTGTCACTTTGCCGGGGTTGACTCCGATTATTCTCTCAATCCGCCTCC